TGATTGGCTTTATACTACAGTATGCAGCCAATCAAATGTCAAAATTCTTGTTTAATCTCAGATTTGGCAAATAATCTAGGATTTTGATTATAATTCACTTTCCTGCAACCGGCCGAGTGAGTATTTTTTATATCAATCCCAGATTATAGTTTCACATGTCATATTTGAAGTAACGTTTCTTAGCAACCTTTAAAGCTTGTCGTGTTTTAATCGCCTTTTGCAATACTTTAATTATATAATTATTTAGAATATCCTAGGAAAATTTGTAAATAGGAAATGTGATTGATAGGGAGAACATTGTAACTTTTTAATCAATAGATATATTCAAACTGTTACGGTTTGGTGTGTGATTTGACATGCAAATTGTTCAATTAACTGTCCAAATTTGACGGAAATTTTTCAGGAAAAAGGAGAAGTTCTACAGTAAGTAATTGGGTTAGCTAGCCGGTGTTATATTCTAGGTAATTTGCACTTACTTCTTGCCGCGTGCAACCACGTGATTTCCGTCTTCGTGACTGTGCGAGACCCGTGCGACGTTGTCACGTTTACCTTATAGTACAGCCGGGACAATAAATGGAAATTTCGGGATATTTATAAAAAGTTTTGCTCCTTCGGAATGGCTTCTTATACATTTTCAAATAACAGATGCTTTTTTTGTGGTACCTAATGTCAAACTGGAATAAAATGCCATTCAGCAAATTCAAATGTGGCAGCGCGCGTTGGAAATGTCAATCCAGTACAATTTTGCCATGGAGCACTACACGCCAAAAGATTGAACTGAAATTGTTAGATTTTATTTTCTGAATCAGTTACACTGGCACAACGTGCGTATAGGGATAAATATCGCGGTCGGAATGCGCCAACATCGAAGACAATTAAACGTTTAGTGACTAAATTTAACGACAGCGGTTCTTTAATATCACAGTTTTAGAATAAAACTCGTCGACGTCGAAGTAATGAGATTATGAGCAAAATCCACTCGAAAATCCAGCAACTAGTGCTGCCGTGAGAGAGAGAAGGTCTCGTCTCGTCTCGTGACCTCGAGACGAGAGACTAACTCAAAGTCTCGTCTCGCCCTGGCTCAGTCTCGTCTCGTCTCGTCTCGTCTAGTCTCGTTTGGCCTCGCGTGGTCTCACCACACTATCCAAAAAGGGGGTAGAGCATATGAGAGGCACCACGAAGGCATGACAAATAATAATGACCTTCCTTACCTATCTGCTAATCACGAAACATAATTATGCGTATTTTAAGGCCTTTCTTTACCATTCTGCAGCTAAAAATATTATCTTTCATAAAATGTATCTGGTAATGTAACTAAGTAGGAAAGTTTCACTGAATTCTTTGTTACTTAATTACTTAAAGTTAATCTGGTTAAGTTATTTTGTAATATCTTACTTTTATGGTCTTAACTACTCTGTAAATATCCTGGTAAATATGTAAGTATCTATACCTACAGTAACTGTAGATGGATATGTCATATGTCACAAAAAAGTGTAAACTCATACTAAAGTACCTATAGCGTTTTAGACCCAATATGGCGACCAGAACGAACTACGAATCAAAAACGTGATACCCAGTTCTATCCACTGTTCTAAATTGAGTCACTGTACCTATACCTAGAAACGATTGGATTTAATGCCATAAACTTATGAAAATACAATGAGAGCATTAAGAGCTTTTAAATAAAGCAATCCGCGAGATCCTATTAAGTATTATATCCAAATCTTGTTTTTTTCCGCATAGACAATTACCATTATTTGAGTAAGCAGGTATACTGCTATTGATGAGGGTACAAGTTTAATAAATCAATTGTCCGCCAATAAAACAAAATAAATCTGTCGAAGGCTTCCTGGATTTAAGAAAAATTACAGTTGTATAAGACCTATGGTAATTAAGTCCTAAATCAGTAAGGTCAGGAACGGTTTATGTAAACAATTGAAATTCGTGCTATTTCAATGGATTTTCTTGATTAAAATTTAAAAAAACCAGTGCAAATAAATAGACTGAACCTTAGTCTCGTCTCGGTATGGAGAATTACTGATTCCAACAGGATGGCGCAACCTGCTGTACTTTTCGTCAAACAATCGCTTTTTTAAAAAGAATGTTCTCCAATCGATTAATTTCCAAAATGCAGATTTCGACTGGCCCGCGCCGTCACCCGATTTGTCTTCCCCTGACTTTTTCTCGTGGGGATATTTGAGAAGCAGGGTGTGTGGCAACAAACCGGAGACTCTCGAATAACTTAAGACAAAATCATTCGAAACGAAATTGCCGGAAATTCTTCAGAAGGTGTTGGCAAAGGCCAACCAATTTATGTTTGGCTGCAGGAGGTGGCCATGTGCCAGATGTTATTTTTAAAAAATGACAAAACAAATTTTATAGGTCCAAATTAACTTCTAAAAACTGAAAAATTTTAAAAATATGATTCTGGTCAAAAAAACTTTGGATGCCACAAAAAAAGCACCTTGTGTTAGGATGGTCGCAGGAAATTTGTAGCTCGAATCCTCGATGCCGACCTTCTATGGAGTTTTTTGTTTTAGGGAAACCGGCATTTACCTACTCTTTCGAAACAATTATAATAATTATAAATTCCTTTTTAGGGGAATCCCTTACAATTTAAATTTAAATAATAACTTTCCAAGGTTTTAAGTAGCCATGTAGCACAATACAAAGTATTATTAAAGCTTCTTCGTTGGATGGTTCATTTTATTCCAAGCCGCGGGAAATTTTCGTTGAACTAGCAGACTGGCTTTATTGGATGCGGTTATATACGTGCATTAAAAAAACGCACATACATAAATTTGTATGCACAAAAACGTCACGTTTTTGAATGCGCAATCATACAAAATCATACAAAAAGTTTTGAATTTGCTCATTTCTCATTTTAAAGTAATGTCTGATTGTAGAACACTCCCGCGTTAATTCCTGTGGGAATTTATTGAATTATTTTGTTCATTTTTGTTTGGAGCACAGCACAGTAGTGCACGCCATTGCTGCCAATACTAAATCAACCACTTTCTTGGACATCGCTCAGAATATAACGAAATTGTTTTGTACGTGCGTTTTTGAATGCACACGCGTACAAAAACGTCCGTCTGTAGCCCAATCGGTCAAATGTTTTCGGCCAACTGTTGGTAAACTTTCCTAGACCCGATTTCTGCAATGTTTAAATAGACTTATGACTACACAATAATAAAGAACATCAGGAGAATTAATTAATCGAATCACTAATTAATTTTATTCGTGGTATTCTTTAATCCGTCACAGGTAATTTGTTTTACAAAGAAGGTTTGCGGATTGGGAACAGAGTTTGTTGCTCATGACAGCTTTGTTTTCGTTATTAAAACTTTATTTTGGTTTATTGGTGGGCTTGGTTTCAGTTGGTATTAAAAATAATAAACGCAAATTTTCTGACTTTAGAAAAAAATGTTTGTTGTGGTCTTCCTTGTGATAAAAAAAGTATACCTAGGTGTAGGAATAAATCCTATACCTTCCCATAATATTTGTTTTATAGAGTTGTGGCAAAAATACCTACATATCACTCAACCAACCCCTTCAGTTATATACATGCTTAATTTATGAAGCCCTACCCGACACTGTGTTTCTACGATTGTAATTAGAAAAAAATCTCAATTAGAACTTGGTGTCATGCTGCTGTTTTTTTTGGGAAATAAAAAACAGCCTTATGTAATACAAACCTTGTTTTTCAGAACCGCTTTCCTTACCTTATACGTCCGCTAGTTTTCTAATTTCGCGTGATATTAACCTTTACTTTGCGAAATTGCATTGAGGATGCTCACCGTGCGAATGTAAGAATCTTTAGTTGTTCATCATTAGGCAACAGGTTGTATTTCTCTTTATTTAATGACATATTGATTACATTTTTTTCATTAGTGATGAAAGGATCTCCGTACGTCTCCGTATGTACGTGATTAGAATTTAAGTACGCCGAGACTTTATGATAAGGTATTGCAGTTTTCAAGTGTGTTAGTGTTTGTAATTAGCATCTCATTATTTCTAAGAGTTACTTTGGGCTTTACTGTAGGTAGTGCAAAATTAGCGATGGCATTTAGGTAATGAAATTACATCATCGAACTGGTGATTGCAAAGTTTAGACACAGTTTGTGTTAGGAATTATTTAATTACATTCAATTATTGAAATGTTGATGTACATTGCAAGTACGATGGCTTGGTTTAAATGCCGGTCGTTAACTGTCTATTCGATGTTATCATCGCTTTAGTTACAGTTTCCGTTTTAAGTAATGCAAAAATGACCATTTACCTTGTACTTCACCAATGTTCTGTGACATTTCGGTACGTTATGTTCATTTTCATACATACAAATGAAGTAAATGTGCAAACTGTAAATAAAAAGCTCCAGGAATGTTAATGTTCCTCTTTTGGAAATTGGAATGAATGATTGTTAGTTGCCATTATAGATGACCTATATGTCCATTCCTTTTGAAAAATTGCAATGCTATATCAAGTTGGATGGTTAACGTGGACTCGGATGCAATAACTAATAACACATGTATATAATAAATACAATGTCAAGAACCTTTGCAATGGCGAATTGCAATGTAGGTATGAAATGAGAAAAAAGAAGGTTAGAACACGTTTCCAAATTAAAGTGGGTGGAAATGAAGTTGTACCGTCAACCGAAAACAGTATGGAATTTGGCAACAAACGAGTGCAAGTAGATTTTGTGCAAAAGTCTAAAACTAAAATTGGTCTAATCAATTATAATGGCTAGAATAAACTCATTACATCGGTAAGTGATTATTGCCTTTTGTAAATTAACGTTGTGCAATAGACACGCTTGCACTGAAATAAATTACAATGAAGGTCTTAATTAATTGCCTAAACCTCTGAAACTCAACTTATCGTTCCATTGTTAGCATACGTTTCCCAAGCAATATGCATATTATAACGTTAGACATTGATTTAACTGTTTTGTAGTTCACAATTAATACATCTTTTGTAAACAAGGTGTTATTGACTCTTACCTAATGTGATATATTATATTGTCCGGGTCGAAGAACAATTTGACAAGAGCTTTTAAATTAAATTTATTATGACGGTTTTTTATAATTTTTCTAACAACCTTATTTATTTCTATGGCAACATTTTTTAATAATTCAGTGAACTTGATACAAATAAATTCAACATTTCTCCACCCTAGTAATTGCCTCTCTTCCAGCAATTACTACTGAAGATCAAGTACAATGAGTTTGGACAGCGCTCTTCGGTATACCTTTCCATTCCCATCCTTGACGTCAACTATACGAATTCTACCATCTTTGGCAGGATACGTTTTAACTACTCTTGCTTTTCGCCAATCATTTCTTGTTCCATTTGGATCAACAATTATAACAATGTCATCAACTTTGATATTCTTCTGTTCTTGATACCATTTGGACCGTTTAATAATTGTTGGTAAATAGTCATCAAGCCATCGCTTCCAAAAGAAGTCTGCCAAACGCTGAGCTGACCTCCAACTGTTCATAAGATTAAGATCTCGATTGTCAGTAGTCACAGTCCAAGGTTGTGCTACAAAATCTGGTCCGATCAGGAAGTGATTTGGTGTTAGAGGTTCAGAGTCATGAGAATCGGAAGAAACGTGTGTCAGAGGTCTGGAATTCAATATATTTTCGCACTCTATGAGGAAGGTTCTGAGTATATGTTCTTGAGGATACCTAGTATTCAGAATTTCCTTTAATATCTTCTTTATGCTTTGAATTTGCCGCTCCCATATGCCGCCCATATGTGGTGCATGTGGAGGATTAAAATGCCATTTAATTCCTCGCAAAGAACAAAATTCTATTATTTCATTTTGTTGTAAATTGTCAAGATGTTGCGAAATTTCCCTTTCAGCCCCTCTAAAGTTCAATCCATTGTCACTATGGATTTCGTGAGGAAACCCACGTCTACAACCAAATTGCCGGAGTACATTTATAAAAGCATTAGTCGTGAGGTCATGAGCAATTTCTAAGTAAACTGCCCTGGTTACTAAACAAGTGAAAATAACTCCATACCTTTTCTCTCTGCTTCTCTTCACTGCAACTTCAAAGGGTCCAAAATAATCCACTCCACATTTTATGAATGGTCTGATTGTTGGTTCTATTCTGCATAACGGTAATTGTCCCATAATTGGTATCATGGGATTGGCTCGCCTATTGCTACAGTGCTGACAATTATGGAAAACATTTTTCACTGCTTGTCTCATACGTAAAATCCAAAATTTACATCGTAATTTGTTGAGTACTATTTCTTGTCCAAAATGATATGCATTTTCATGATAATGTTGAATTATCAGTTTAGTTATTCTATGTTTCGGGTCTAATATTATCGGATGTTTCGTATCGAAATTCAAAGATGAAGAATTATTCAATCGTCCATCTAGCCTCATCAACTTGTCCTCTTCTCTGAACGTACAAGACAATGAAAAGAGGCGACTCGTTTTCTTGATTATTTGACCTTGTTGTAACATCTTGTATTCTTCTAGAAAAGATTCCATCTGTACCTTTCGATAAAGAATAATTTCAGCTTCATACAACTCTTCAACGGTAATTTCGTTCCGGATGAAAACTTTTGCTCGTAGTATGTTTCTTACTCGGATTATGTAGGCTGTAGCTCTAAGAAGTCTCGTCCATTTTGAAAATCTTTCAGGATTAGGAATATCAGGGATCAAATCTTGTGCTGAAAAGTTGATGCAAGTATACTCCAGTCTTTTCATTTCTAAATTGTCTGAATCAATTTTCAAATCATGTTCGATTTCTCTTGGCCATTCCTGGGAATTCAATAGTAGAAACTTTGGCCCACATATCCACCTAGAATCTGCTGATACTGAGGAGTTGATAACATATTTCGTCGCTTCGTCCGCAACGTTGTCTGAAGATCTAACATATTTCCAGTCAGTTACACATGTTAATTCTTGAATTTCACCTAGTCTTTGGGCTACAAATACTTTAAAACGTCCAGCTTCCGATCGAATCCAATGGAGAACTGTTTTTGAATCAGTCCAATATGTCGTGGATGAAATATTCAAGTTTAAATTCTTCATTAGATAGTTACCTAAGCGTGCACCCATTAATGCCCCTTGAAGTTCCAACCTTGGTATTGACATAGGTTTTAAAGGAGACACTCTTGCTTTGGCATTTACGAAACTGACCTGTACTTCATTTCCATATTGTATTCTCAGATAAGCTACTGAAGCATAGCATCTTTCTGAAGCATCGCAGAATATGTGCAGCTGCAAATGACTTGAACTCCTATCGAATGTGAAATATTGTCGTGGTATCTTGAAATTATACATTTTCTTCAATTCCTCAATCCATATGTTCCATTTATTCGCCAAGTTATCTGTAATTTCGTCGTCCCAACCTAACTGGCTCCTCCAAACATCCTGTATCAGCATCTTACCTTGAATCAATATGTTTGTCTTTGTAATAAATCCCAGTGGATCAAAAACTGACATTACAATTTTCAAAATCTCCCTTTTCGTCGGTCTTCTTATATTTTCCAACAAATCCTTTTCAATTTTGTGGAATTTGGTTTTGAACTCGAAAGTATCATTAATTGGGTTCCAAAATATGCCAAGTACTCTTTCGATATTCTTATCGTTTTCATTTCTCAAAGTTTTCATTCCATCGGCCACTAATTTGGAATCAATATGGTCAATAATTTTGATATCATTCGCAATCCAATTGCAAATCTGAAAACCTGCCTTACTGTGTATATAAATCACATCTGCAATTAATTTATGGGCTGCTTCAATTGTGTCTGCTCCACCCAAATAGTCATCCATGTAATGTTTCTCTATAATATCGTGAACAGCATCTGGATGAGTCAGTTTAAACTCTTGCGCATTCTTATTCTTAGCTTCCTGAGCTAAGCAAGGACCACAAGTCGATCAAAAGAAAACAACTTCGATTTCATAAACGTCAGGTTCTCTCGTTCTATCCGTCTCTCTGAAAAGGACGCGTTGTGCACTACAGTCGTCTTTTTTAACGTGAACTTGTAAAAACATCTCTTTAATGTCAGCTGTGAACGCATATCTGCAGATCCTGAAGTTAATTAGTATATTAAAGAGAGAGTTATATTTGTCCGGACCTGTCAATAAAAAATCGTTCAAACTGACAGCATTACTCTTGGCAGAAGCATCGAAAACAATTCGTAATTTATCAGGTTTATTTGGATTAATTATACCAAAATGAGGTAAATACCAGACTTTGAATTGATCTCCACATATCTCACTGTTGTTCAATTTTCGTATATACTTCTTTTTCACCAGTTCATCGAATTTCTGACAATGTCTTCTGCCATACTGTTCATTTTTGTCCATTTTTCTTTCAGTGCAAATAAGTCTTCTCACTTGCTTCCGGAAAGTACTACATTTTCATCTCTCCAGAAGAGTCCGGTTTCAATTCTTCCTCCTGATCTTGTCATGGTTCTATCTATTATAGACTGAGCGACCATTTCTTCTTTGGACATTGCTTTTTCAAGCTTATATACTCCAGACGAGTCTATTTGCCATTGTTGTTTAACTAAGTCATGTAAAACATCCAAGTCATCCTTATCTTCACTACTCATGTGACATACGTGACTAGTAGTATGCTTGTTTGAAAATGTGTTAGCAGTCTGGCTTACATTTCCATGAAGTACCCTTCCCAGCAGTGTCTTGCTTAAGGCAGGGCCATTCCAAGGTCCAGAAATAATCCTTTTGTTAACTATAGTTCGTTCACTCAACAGAAATAGTTAAGCCACTCCTACAAAATTTGGGCCAATGTAAGCAGCAACCAGTTTTACAACCACAAAATTATAAAAAGCGGAAAATTTGAAAAATCAAATTGAAATGTCACTTACTCAAGACTAATTATGGCGCTATCTCTCTGAACATAACTCGTGGCAAAAATAGTAAAACCTGCAAACTGTTAAATACATGTAAATATGCAACATAAAAACACTGTTTATATTGAGAAAAGTACAAAAAAGTATTATTACAGCAGCACAAAGTTTTGAAATTACAAGTGCACTTGAATATAAACAAAGGTACATAACAATTTAAATCCTATAATATTAATTTCCATAAAGTAGTTCGTTTCAAATGGGGTAAGTCTTCGTCTTCGTGTAACACTGCCAAAACTTTACTCAGGGTAGGTGGTTCATTTCTTTCAAAGAAAGAATGAAGCAAACGCCGAAGAATACTTTTAGTTCCGGAATCAATATTGTCCAAAATTGCTCGTGGTCGATAATATTTGTTAGGTGAATGAAGTTCGTGTACCTCTGTATACTCCCGAAGAATCTTGTAGACACTCGGAATGCTTACACCTAAATTACACAATAATATGTAAAAATGAATGTGCCTAAGATGAAAATTACCTGCTGCTTTAGCCGTAAACTCAACTTTATCCGTTTTAGATACCTCCGGGTTGTCTTCCGAATATGCCTTGAAGATATTTAAAATGCCAGTTTTGTCTTCAACTGAAAAGTGCTTGGCAGAACGTTTTTTCGGTGGAGAGAAAGCAGCACCGGCGACATTCATGTTTGCGTACAACTTTTCTTGATCGCGAATAATATAACCCTAAAAACAGGCATGTAAAAATCGTGTATAAAATTTTATAATTACTCACCTGACTATCTTTAGAATACACCGACGAGTTTTTATAAAGACTATTTTGTGTGAATAAAGGAGATTAATGGCAAATTGACGCAAGTAAAGATGTAAAAACGTAAAAACCGGCAGAAACGCAATAGGCAAGATGACAGATGACAGATTACCCAATTCGGCCAATTCGCTTTACAAGTGTGATTGTGGCTTCAAAAATTACACCAATAACAATGTCGTATTCAAATGTGGCGGTAATTGTTGAGGAGGGGCTTCACTATTTCTGTTGGGTGAAAACTGATGATCGTGAACGAAACTATAGTAGCACTAGAATTAGTAAAACCAGCTCGATTAAACAAATAAGGGAAGCTGAATTAGTCGAACGCTTTCGTTAAAAACATAAAAAAACAAATCGAAGCTCAAAAGCGAAGGAAGAAGCTGCAAAAAGGGAAGCTGAAGCCGCAATAACAGAAGCGATGATCGGTATTGAAAATAAGATGCCCGGCTCAATGCAACGTTGGACCAACAATGTGATATGAAAGGAAAAGATAATCTGATAAACATGTCAAAGTGACTCGAGGAGGAGTGAAATATCGCGTGTCAAATTTTACCAACAATAACGTCATACGATAATGGCAAACAATTTTATAACTTAGACGGAAAGAATCGAAAAATAAAGTAAAAATACGTATAGAGAGTTAATTGGGAAAACCACAGAAGGGAAATATTTGCAGAAATGTAAGTAATTAAGTAAGTAATTTATTGTGTTAATAGGTACATTGAAGAAATGCTTACACTCGTCCGTCGAATCGTATAACACATAAACATAAAATACATGAAACATATAGAACAATATTAAATAACATGAAAAATCATTTAGAAATAAAATAATTAAATACAAAAAAAAATACAAACAACAAAAAATAACTTAAAGCGTTAAAGTCTTGAGGTCGTTATCTAAAAACTCTTGGATGTTATATATTGGATTTTCGCGTTTTAAGTTTCTTGGAAAACAGTTGTTCATTTAGAGATTGGAAACAAGAAGGTAAACGATTATACAACACAGGGCTCCAATAATTATGTGCCGCGACGTTTTTAATTGTAATCTATCATTATATATTTGATTTTTGTTCGGAGTATTGTAAGAATGAACATTTTTATCCGTTATATAATTTGATTTATTTCTATGAACGAACAAAACTGAGTCAAAAATGTATTGTGATGGAGCTGTTAGAATTTGCAACGATTTAAAGATATTGCGACAGTCCTCCCAGTAGCCAGCATTTACAATATTCCGCACACAGCGCCTTTGCATGGCAAACGTTCTTTTCATTGCCCCGAGTATGGCTAAGTACACAATATTTATGTATGCGAGAAATGCAAGATGAAATTTGTGCAAGAAGAACGAGATATTGATATTCCAAATTCAAAAATATATGGGGAAAACGGTATTAGACCATAAAATATGATACAAGGAAGTAGAAGGAGGAAAAGTGAGACTTTAGTCCATTAAATGAAAGACAACACATGCGGATTTAGTCCTCGGGGTGCAAAATAGTAATTTCCATTCTTTTTTATATACCGCCCTTTATAACACGTAATCCTCAATTTCTCAACACTCACGTGAAATTTGATTTGCGGTCTCATTATCTTTCAGTGTGTTACGATCCGAAAATGAAGGAAATAAATTCTTTTTAAAAATGCGAAAAAACTATCGTCGAATGTCAGTCCGGTGATGTCCGGTTTTGTAAAATTGTAAGAAAATCGAATTCTCCGCTGACGAGACGATTCAACCTCATCTCGACATACGGGAGTTTCCATACCTGTTCGTTTGCTTAGTTGGGATTCTGTTCGATTCGGTTAACACAACGAAGACGTATGGGAAATACACGCCTCCGCGTTTAGGGAAGAAATCAAATAAGGGATTTGCAAATTAAATTTATTCAATAATTCAAGTTCTAAATTTAGGAATATTTCATAAATCAGCTTTTACGGTATAGCATAGTTAATTTAACATTCGTGGCACACGAATAAAACAGCAATATGAGAATGTGGTACTTTAAAATAATTGAAACGAAGTCCTAATTTTGTATCGAATCGTTGAGTGAATCTGACTTCGTTATTTAATGACCGAATCTAAACAATATATTGCCACAAAATATATTATGATATGAAACCAGTTGCCAAATTCTTGACAGAACAGCTCAATCCATAAATAGCGCTTTTAGAAGAGTGTCTTCAAAAAATAATAAGTTTAGACAAAACTGTTTCACACGAAAGTTTATTATTTTCCGGTGTAGAATAAGAATACTCAGGTTTCTATTTCAAAAAATTAAGTTGCCCTACACTATGCCGGAACTGGTAGCCCAAAAGAAATGACTCTATACGCCCTCGGATACACCCCAATTCGTCTCGTGTATCCAGTTAAACCCCCATAAATTGTTCCTGAAACGAATGCAATATATTCTATGCAACATTTTTATAGGTTGTACACAGAAAAATAAGGTTTTTAGAATAACTTAAAAAAAATGTAGGTTGCTATTTGAAAAAAAAGTTTGATGCCGTTGCGGTATTCCACACTTTTTTTTCAAAAATCCGGTTAGTTGTTTTCGTTTCAGTATGCCTAATATACATATCCAAAATTTGAACAAAATCCGTCGAGCCGTTACCTCGGACAATTGCCAACGTACGCACATACAGACAGACGGAAAAAATGTTATTCTTTAAATGTCGCATAAAACGATCTAAAACGTAGACATTTGATGAAATTTTAACATTTCCAAAAAACGGTTATCGCAATAGCCACCTAGCTCAAGCTAGGAAGCTAACAATAGGAATGAATGTGCAAATAGCTAGAACAAACCTTCACAGTAGCAGATAACGCCATAATATGTAAAACACAAATTCCAGGTGCATATCTATCAAATTTCATTTAAACATTTTAAATCTTGAACATTTGAGTCTAAATGTAATTAACCCCGTAAGTATGTAATTAGTCAATTAGGTTTTTCTAACTTTTGGATGGATTAAGTCTTGTCAATTTTTCGGTTAGTATTCCCCTTTAGGAAGGCTGATCTTTAATTTGCCTTAGGAGTGTTCCCCGTCTGGGATCTCTTCCGTTTAATTGTTGTATATGGATTTTGTTCCGTTACGTTCTATTCGTCTAAATGTAATTTAATAAATATTTTTCCCGTAAGTATGTAATTAGGTAAATAGGTTACTTAAACCTTTAAATTTTAGATAAGACTTGATGGATTGTTCCTTAATTTAATATTTCGGTTAGTCTTCCCTTTAGGAAGGCGGTTTTTTAACTTGCTCGGTTGGAGTGTTCCCCGTCAATTTTTTCAATTGAATTTTATGGGGAAGGTTTTGAGTTCTTAAACGTGGATTATCATTTAAATGCTTTTGTAAATAAGAAAGCCGACATTGCGCAAGCGCGAAACAATATTTTGAAAACGCCGTTAGTTTTACTTATATTCGTAATGTTTAGATATACCTAAAGTTTCATTTACCTTCGTAAATTAAAAAAATTTGCAATTCGGTTGGGACATGGTCGAGATACGAAAAGGGCACTGCGAACTGTTGACTATTATATGACTAGAACTATTCCCATAATCAATTTCATGCAATTCCGTTCATAATTAACGGAGATGTCAAATTTTTCGCCCTACATTGCCAATTCGCGAACTTCGATGTACAAAATTGATAAAGAATCCACTCGTAATTCCATCGTAATCGGTCTACTCGTTTTCGAAATATCGTGCTAACAGACAGACGAACGGACTTGTAATTACACCCACATTTGGCCAAGTTGTGTACTAAGAAACGCTTATAAGTACTTAGCTCTTTGCTTATTACCAACGTGAGCGTTTCATTTTAACGTTACGCAGAACTTCGAAACTAGCATCCTGTTTCAACACTAAAATTTAATCTGGGGTTTCACATGTTAAGATTTCCGATTGCACCAGAATTTGGCTTCAGAATTGTGCTCTTCTGTGTACATACGTAAAAATTCTTTTATAGAGGGTGTAACATAGAAGTCTGTTAAAAAGGTAGCAACTTTTCAAATCTTAATTTGTTAAAAATGCACAAGATGAAATATCATCCCTTGTTTTATCTTGTTTATTTTGCAATAACCATTATCCTTGAATAATTTTTTATTCAGAGACAAATGCAGAATTGCGTTTTTCTTTATTCTTCCATTCTAAACTTGAAAAGAGTTTATAAATCTAAATGGAGTCTATGGGGATTAGAAGCAAAATAAACGATAAATATTTATTGCCTCATGTAAATAAAGACAACCTTTCCCCGTTTCATCCTTACCGCTCCTTTGTTATGTAATAGCTGATATCAGTCGATAAATTTTAACTATTCACACTGTAATGTTAGAATGTATCGATCGACTCTGCTGGAATTGGACCTACTGCATAATTATGTTCTGGAATGGTTGTATCAGAACATTACAACGTTTGGCATTTTTCTGTTTCGTTAGTAAAATATATATGATGAAAATCGTTTAGTTCTATTTAAACTGATGTCTATGTACTAAATTAATATCGTCAATAAATGTATTAGTTTCCTCAGTCGTACAGATCGTTTAATACCATTAATAATATTAAAAGTAGTAGGAATGCATTCAATAATACTACCAGCATAAAAGACTGGTTTTTCGGAAAAGCTCATTCTGTTGGCCTGCAATGGTTATACAACTCAAAATTCGTCAAGTAGTTGTTACACTAAAGTTTACTTATAAATTGTTTGTCAAGTAAGGTGATTTTCATTTGGGTGCCATCTTGAAAAGCTTGTTTCGAGGTATGACTAAATTGTTCTGACTGATTTTGATAGCTTATTTTATGTCAATTTCACAATCGATTAATGGCACTCTGCCAGAGTTGAGCATTTAGAGTAACTCAATATGGCGTCCAGCATGGTGCCCGAAATATTGAAAATTTTATTCTCCAAGATTCACCAAGATGTTTCCAAGAAGAAAAAGGCATTGTACAAGTTGATTTTGATGCAGCAATTTTTTCGGCAAGCACACTCATGAAATGAGAATGATTTTTATAAAATATCAACAAGACATTGTAAGTAAATGGAAATAACCACCATCTCCAGAATACCGAAACATTATTAAAAAGTTACTCTTTCTTGAAAGCCGTATGCTACAATTGCAAGGTACAGAGGGCCTAAGAAAGTCCCTATGCCATCATTTTCTTTGCCGCTTTGAAAGAATACCACCATTGAAATTATTAGCTTTATAAGTTGGCAAAAAGGTTGTAT